CACGTTGAGCGACCGTTGAACCGGCGTGAACACGTGTCTTCATTCTTACAAGTAACATGATTGTCGAATTTTCCAAATGGGTGTTTTTTTTTGTTTTTTGGGACCAATTGATATATGGATATGAATAGCTATACCACATGTTGATAAGGACAACCATGATTACATACGTATGTGTAACACCGTCTAAATGAATTAAAAATTGGACAGTGGGCAGCACCTTTCCTTCTTCAATCTAGCTAAAATGTGAGCCCCAGTTTTGCAACCAATTAGAAGATGTTCCTTTAAAAGCTACATATATTTTGGCTACTTTTTTTTTTGTTTCGCCCTGTTTGGCATTGCCGTTCAGATAAAAAAAAAAAAAAAAAAAAAAAAAAAAGTAAGTGGCTAGCTGCTCTGTTGTTTTACAAATGTAGAGAATAAATAAAAAAAAAAAAAAGAAAAAAACTGTTCCTCTTTAAGTACCAGGTTTTGGTTAAGTATTTTCCACTTTTATGACAATTTTACGTTTTCACTTTTTATCTTACTTGTTTAAAAGACTTGACTTTTTAAAAATTGTTCTCATATTACTTCAGAGTATCTTTGAGCAAAACTGTCTACATTTTTTCCATAGACGTAACCCCACTGCGAAAATTTTTTTCTTTTTTAAAATGAATCCTCTGAGCATTTTCCTGCTGTCTATTTTTTTTATCAAAGCAGCCCTTGTGTTCTCCATTTCAACGCATGAAGTTTTGAATGACAAAAGAATTGAGTTTAAAAATAATGCCAAACGGATTATCAATGAATCATATTTGGTGGACAAAAATGAGAAGCTCTTGGGCAGTTCGCTCAGGACATACAAATATTACTTGGTAAAAGGTACAACCGAATTTAGGGCTATCTTCATTTTTGATGATTTAAATGTGAGCAAAGCGACAGAGCTAGGAATACGCAATGCTCAACATGAGGCGGACATCTTAAATGTAGAAGAAAACGTGAAGAACATTTACCCCCTCGATGAAATAAGTACATTTAATGAAGTCCTATACAGAGAGAGAAAAATGTTCAGTCTGGAAACTGCATATTCCACCACAAGTTATGTGCTAGCCAAATTTGTGTTTGACGTGAATATCGAAGAAGAAGATGAAGAGGACATCATGTCTCTTTTGATTGAAACTGAATTGAATATGAAAAAAAAAAAATTGGACGTTCTTACTAAAGAGGATGGCGATGCACCGCAAGGGGACAACATCAACAGCAGCGACATGAACTCGAACCACTCGGAATCAGTTGCATTGTACAAGAAGAAACGCCCACAATCGTTTACCCAATTCGTCGGACTGCTGGTAAGTATAGTGTCCATGGCTACATCCATCTCAGGTGCCATTTCAGCTGTCGCGTCAGCTTTTTCGGGCATACCCAGTCCGTCTCCCCCCGAATTTTTGGGCGATGAAGCTTGGGCCCTGCCCACATATGAAGAGAGAAAGGTTTCCAAGAAGCAAGCTCCCAAGGCTAAGAAAGGCAAGCAGGTTCCCTATTATGATGATGACTATTACGATGATGACTACTACGATGATGACTACTACGACGGTGACTACTACGACGATGACTATGGCGATTACTACGACGATGGTGACTACTACGATGACTACCGCTTCTAATATCAAAGTGGCGTGCGTGACGGGGAGCTAACAACTACGAGGGTGGAAAGATTTCAGGGGAGAGGGATGCTTAACATGAATGAAGACCTTAAACGGGAGTGCGACAAACTGCATTTACGCCTCAGGAGAGGAGAGTTAATTTTCACCTTGGGGACAGTTCTAGGCAGCGAAAATGTCATGCCTTGTGGGACTCCCCAACAACAAAGCGTCATAGAATACGTGCGCACACAGAACGACATGTTTATCCAGTAGGCTCTTCAAATGCATTGTGCGAATTCTTTTTACTAGTGTGGAACAAGGAGGGTTGCATTTTTTTCTTCCTTCATTTGTTCGTTTCTTTTCCATAGCGTTTTTATATCTCCTTATATATGTGCATATATGTATAATATTTTTAAGCACATTATTAACCTGTGTGAAGTGGACTGGTTGCACTTAAAATTGTGTCTCCTTTCCTTCGCGTCAAATTTTAACAACTGCTTCATTTGCGTAAAGGATAAATGGCCCCATTGTGAGGCCTCAAAATTGCAACGTTGTAATCCGAAACGATAGAAAAAAGAAAAATGTAAAATTTGCTGCGTATGACCCATGTACTACGTTTATGGGGGAATGGGCATATTTCCCTTCGCATCTATGAGGGAGGTAATCTGCTCAAATGGAGTCACGAAGACAAACACGTTGTTCTTATGCAGGTGTGGAGATCTGTATGTATGCTCCCCCATTTTCTTTTTATTCCTTTATATGTGGAGATTATTTTTTTTTTTTTTGTTAACACCCCGGCCCTTTTCTTTTAAATCGCAAAAAAAAAAAAAAATTACTCACAAGGACAGATATATGCACATTCAACGATGCACAGTGGAAACATCTTTACCGCTTCTGTGGTTGTGGCGAAAAAATTGCGCATCATTTATGCGCTACTTTTTGTGAGGACGTCTACTTGTTGGCAGACGCAAAATGCTAAAATGAGGTGCGTGTATTTTGCGAAATTCGTGAACTGCCAGGGCCAACATGTTTAACCCAATTAATCATTGGAACACTCAAAGGATCAGAAAAGCAGAGTTGCTCGTTGTCCAGCTTTTAAGGTGTTACATGTCTGATGCGGGTTTGATGTGTACTTGGTGCATGCATGCAGTTAGGCCTTTTTTTCTCTCTCTCCCTGCCGCCTTTTTCTGAGGGTCCTATGAGTAACAAAAACTGGTTGTAGTGAAATTGCAGATTAATTCTTCCCTCATATTTTCAAAAAAAAAAAAAAAATGCACGTAACATTTTTAAGAGGTTAAAATGTGTACGTTGTTTTTTTTTTTTCCCTTCCATTTTTTATTCATGCTTTTCCACATTGTTTTGTTATGTCATTGAGAGTATCGAAAAGAGGATTTCATTTTTGTCTAATTTTCAGCTTCTTTTTCGTGTTCACATGTGCTTTGTTAAATTGTGTTAATTGTTTAAGGGAAAACAGAAAAAAAAAAAAAAAAAAACAGAAGCAGAAGCAGAAGCCAGAAGAGGAAAACCCGATTTGTTTGGTCTTTTACCTTTTTAAACAATCTGTTTATCCTTATCTTTAGTAGAGACCACATTGTCGTTTCGTCAAGGAGCGAAGAAAAGTAAACCCCCCCCAACACACACACATGAGCATGTTGTTCCTTCGGCGTTCAGTTGACTGTACATATTGAGAGGTGAGAATGTTACCTGGGTGGTGGACAATTAAAAAGGGTTAAAAATTTTCTATATGTGTATGTCTACATCTGTGTGCATGCTTCCCGCGCGATGTATGTACCCTACTAATTATTTCCTCTCCCATTGGGGCCACCACCCCCACACCTGTTTTTTTTTTTTTTTTTGCAGGCCCTTCCACATTCGACAGCAGCCTGTGAACCTCCAACTCTTATCCTCAGACAGGCACTAGTTGCGGCATTATCCTGAAAGGAATTTCGAGAGGAAGCATTTTTATCCTTTCCATTGGGGATCAATAAGTGATAGAAAGGGGAATCACAAATAGGATTTAGCCGTAGCCACACGATATAGGTGCGGGAAAAAAATGCGCTAGGCAAACAAACACCCACATGTAAACTGAAAAAAAAAAAAATGAAGCCAAGAAATATAAACAACTTGTTTCCCATTTGGTGTATCATATTTTCCATCTGTGAGTACGGTTACGTGGGAAGTCTCCGAATCGGGCTTCGCAGAAACTACAGTCAGAGCCACAATCCTGATCAGCATGGGGAAAGCCAAGTAGGCTTTCGACGAAGTGGAGAGCTAAGGGATTTGGCAAAGCACGAAAATATTTTAAGTAACAATATTTCTTACAATAACAAAAACGAGGTTTCATTTCTTAATCAGAAAAAACACCTTGAGGATGATGACGATGACGATGACGAGTTGGGGGCCTTGTACAACGACGATGATGATGCGTCCACCACTACGGGAGGTATGTGGACACAGGAACACTGCACCGTTGCGTTATGCTTCATTTTTTTTCGCAAGAGGTAGCAGCACGGCGCGCAGTTTACCCGTGCGGGAAAAAATGAAATAAAAAAAAAAAACATTTGCGTTGGCACCCTCTCCCGCTGGAACGAGACCATAGTGTGCGTGTAGATGCATGTATGTACAGTACGCATGTGCTTTATTCACGTGCGTCACCCCCGAATACACTTGCAGGCGGCTCTGTAACGAGTGACGACGACGAGCTGGAGCTTCCCGACCAAGACGAAGGTGCAGAGGAAGAGGAAGACGAAGAAGATGCCGAAAACCAGCCAACCAACGAGGACGACGCAGAGAGTAGCGGTAAAAAAAATAAATATAAATAAATGATAAAATAAATGAAAAAATAAAGTGGGTTTGCACGAAACAGCAAATGTGCACAACTACACATGCGTACACCTTACGGAGTGCACATATATATGTGCATGCGCAACTGACTTACCCCCCAGGGATAGACAATGGACTCAAAAAGAAGATCCAACTTAGTAGACACGAAAAACTCATAGAAGATAAAAAAGAACAGACGGATAATACCTTTAAGAAGTACCGCTTCGGCGACGGCGATGAAGAAGAGTCAAACAAACAATCCTCAAGGAAAAGTAAATCCTTGGACCCTACGTCCCTAGATAACGATAATGATGAGAATGACGATGAGGACGACGACGACGATGATGATGGGAAAGGAGAAAAAATACAATCGAACACTAGGAACGCAATGAAAAAGGACTTGAACGTATTTCCAGGGTTATACTTTGCAGGGATCGGGTATGACTCCCTCTTTGGAAACCCCTTGGGGGAAGCAGACTCTTTAACGGATCCCGGTTATAGGGGGCAGATTATTCTGATGAACTGGGAGCTTAGCAACAAAGGAATTGCGAATGACTTGGCTACTTTGCAACCATTGAATGGATGGATCCGAAAGGAAAACGCCTGCAGTAGAGCAGAATCGGTACGTTTGTCCGCGCCCCAGTGCAGTGTCCACTTGTCTGCGTTTTGGAGAAACGGCCAAGGGACAGCGCCCGTTAGCGCTTGGGCTGAAGGGTCCCAACAAAAGGCCACATAAGACGGGCACATAAAGCAGCGACCCCCACGAATGCATGCGCCGTGTATCACTGTCCCTATTCCACCACCACCCCTTAACAGATCAAAGAGTGCAGCACCGTTTCGGACTACACCAAAAATCTGACGGCGGAGGCGAGCGTGTCGGGAAGCTACATGGGATTCGGGGCCTTCTCCGCTTCCACCGGATATAAGAAGTTTCTCCAGGAGACGACAAAGAGGACCAGCAAGACGTATTTGATCAAGTCCAACTGCGTGAAGTACACGGTTGGCTTGCCTCCCTATGTGCACTGGTAAGTAGCGGCATCGCGCTCCCCCCCATCCATTGCGTAGGCACAAACGTATTCACAACAGCTTACTCACGTCGGCGCACCAGTGGGCTCGCCTTACCGAGGACAACCACAGAGCAGTAGTTGTGCCGAAAAACAAAAAAATTCACCGCGCGTACACCACACAAAAAAGCGTATATTTTTGCTAACGCAATAAGCAAATGTCCTTTTTTTAACTGTTCAGGGAACAAACGACAGCCTTCAAAAACGCAGTGAACGGACTCCCGCCACATTTTACAGGCCTACAACAAGACAGCGAATGCGCGTCGGATGTCTATGAGCAGAAGAAAACGTCCGAGGAGTGTGAAATTGTGCACACGTGGATTACATTTTTCAAGACCTATGGAACGCATATCATTATGGAAGCGCAGCTGGGTACTCTAACGAGGGAAAGCAGCCGCATTATCGGTTTTGTGGTGTAGCGGCCAGATGAAAGGGGGGAAAAAGAAAAAGACTTGCCCTCAATTTCACCTGCACATACATGCGTACACATATGCTGAAGACAATTTGCACACTTCGTACAACATGCACATGTTTCCGCGCCCCCCAACCGCAGGTGGCAAAATCACAAAAATCATCCGCGTGGAAAACTCTTCGGTGAACCAAATGAAAAAGGATGGAGTCAGCGTAAAGGCGCAAGTGAAGGCGCAGTTTGGCTTTGCCAGCGTAGGAGGGTCGACAAACGTGAGTTCCGATAACTCCTCCAAAACAAACGAAGACAATTACGAGATGAGCGAACAGCTAGTTGTGATTGGAGGGAACCCAATCAAGGATGTCACGAAGGAAGACAATTTGTACGAATGGTCAAAAACTGTGTCCACCCACCCCATGCCAATTAACATAAAGCTCCTACCAATTTCAACCATCTTCGAAACCGAGGATTTGAAGAACTCCTACGAGAAGGCCCTCATTTACTACACCAGACTGTATGGCTTTTCCCCCCACGACACGATGCAAAAGGATGAGAAGGATATTGTTAAAATTGTAAGTGATCATGAGAGGGGTACACTCGTAAGGAGAGAATGTGACACCTGTGCAAATACGTTAGATAAAATGTATAAACACATCATGCATATCTCTTCATATTCATCTGCATAATATTCTTTTTATTATTCCCCACCCCTGTACCACAGCTGACCGCTTCGACGACGGTCACGAACATTGGTTCACCCCCCATAAGCGCGGAATGCCCACACAACATGGTGGTGCTATTTGGCTTTGTAGTGAGGCAGAACTTCTGGGACCACACGAACAAATTGCAGTCATACGAAATGGAGATCTGTGAATCTGGCATGAGTGCGTGCACGTCGAAGCAAGGAAGTTCAAACAAGTATGATGTGTCTTACACTTACATCGAATGTGGCCCCCAAGCTTTACCGTTCATCGAGCAGGTGGTTAGCGTAAGTAGCACCACTTACAACTCATTGAAATGTCCAAATGATTACTCTGTTCTGTTTGGGTTTGGAATGGCTACTTCTTCTGGCAAGCACCAATCGGCTCTCTACACTTATTTCACGCCCTGTCGACCAGGTCAGCAATACACCTCACGTGGGAGTATACATGTGCATCTATTGCATGCTATTTAATTTGTAGGGGTTGTTCTCTCACACTGGCACACAAACAGTACCTATACCCTCACGCACGTAAATATATAAGTTTTTTTTTTCCCTCCCCCCCGTTTTCCCACCTTTCATAGGCATGAAAAGCTGCTCCCTAAACATGAACAATCAAGATGATAAGAGCTATATATATCTGGTCTGTGTAGACGGAACCATATGGACTGGCTTGAATAATCTGTCGCTGATCGCCAAGGATGATTTACACACCGCTGTTAACAAGTACAAGCAATTTAATGATGGTGAATTAGTCGTTACATGTCCTTCTGAAGGCACGATACTCACGGGATTCTATGGCGAGACGCATACCTCTAGTCCTTACGTGACTGCGCCCTTTGGCAAATGTGCAAAAAGTTTAAAGGCCTGTTCAGTGCATGGGTCCGGCCAAACAATAGGCATGCACAACTACAGAACGTTGTTCATCGTGGCGCTGTGCAAGAATAACTAGTGGTGCGCACATATGTTGTATTTTACTTTTTTTTTTTTGTTTCTTTTTTTGTCTCTCCTTTTGTCTGTTTTTTAAGAGGGGCCCTTGTCCGCCCTGTTAGTGTGGCTTTGCGTTGCAGTGATTTTTCACTACAACTTTTCCCTATGATAAAATTTTTTTAAAAAATATGCAAAAGGTGAATGGTGCAATGGTGAATGCGTTTGTATTGGCCACTTGACATGACCTACTTTGGATGGTCCCCCGTTCCCCACTCCGGCATGCATACCTTGCACATACACAATGTGAGGTTTAATGTAGTGAAATAATTTCACAAAGTTATTCACCGATCAAGCGTCCGTTTTCTCTTCCAAACGGGGCATCCTCTGCATGCCCTCACTGGAAAAAAAAAAAAAAAAAAAAAACGCTCATTTGAAACGAAGCGGTAGAGGCACCCCACACTCAGTCTTGCATTTCTGCAACTACCACCCCCCGTCTGGTTGTGGAACATCTCGTCGAATTTAAAATTTTCTTTTATTTGCAAAGGAGTTGTCTCAAAGTTTCACTCAAAAAAGAAAAAAAAAACACACATGAACGTAGTAGCATGAACGCAGAAGCATGAAACACTGCAGCGTGAACACTGGGCATCGTGAACCAACAAAAAAGCCACAACATGCAGCGAGCGAGCGCTGCAAGATCGCCCACGCGGCGTGACGCGGCGCAGCGAAGAAGCACGTCAGTTGGAGCGACGTGGGCGGGTGCAAAAAAAAATAGTCGTGCCGCCGAGCAGCGCTGAGAAGTAGTCGTCACGTAGTAGCCTCTGCGTGGGTTACTTAATCCCGGCGGAGGCGCAACTGCGAACACCGTTCACCGCTCAACCGCTTCGCACGGCCCACTTGTCACTCCCTGCACGCACACCCCTCACGAATTGTCCACGAAGACGCTGTACGAGTAGACATTCCTGGACTCGTTTTTGCACAGATCGACCGCCTTGATCTCGTCAAGAATCCACGTCCCAGCCATGGAGCCCTTGGGCAGCAGGATCGTATGCGTCACCTGCTTGTAATCCTTTCCTTGAGGCAGCAACGTCCTGTTCACATGGCTCGAGTGAATTCCCCCGTGAGGATCCTTTAGATGTATGTAAACGTAGTACACCCCAGACATATCGTCGTACACACCAAACTCAACTGTAACTTCTGTCTCTCCATCGTGATGATCATTAGCTGGCTTGCTTGTAACCCTAACTCCAGTGATAGTGGGCTGAGTTCTATCCCTACGAGGAGAACTCCTCAAATCGGCATAGTACTTGTTCGAAGTCACATTTAAAATGTTCTGATTTCCCGCATCATCCTCTACTGCGAATTGGCGGAAGTAGTACCTACTGCCTACACAGTACTTTGGGATATGCACAGGATTCATCACTTGAAAGCATTTCAAGTTAGAAACATTCATGTTGGTGTGCTCTTTGCATGCATTTATATTGACTTGTCGGAACCCACTCGTTGATATGTCTCTCACGAAATAATCGTTCTTCATTGCCTCAACATCAAACTCAGGGTCGTACGAGGCGTAGGTGTGGTTGCCATAGGCATAGGTTTCACTATCCGTGGAGGCAAAGTTTGCGAAGGATCCTCCGTGGATCTTGAGCGAGGTGTCCTCCAAAACGAGCATACTCAATCGGAGAAGAGAATCTTCGGAGCCATTTCCATTGTAGGGGTAAATTTGAACAGAGTCCACCAGGGGGATAGGCTGCTCAACATCTTCGTTCTGATTATTCACATACATGTAGAGGACCATCGATCCCAGCCCTGTGTATCGCTTTATGTCATTCTCTCCAGTGAAAGACATAGATTCGACCACCCATTTGCCCTTGCTCTCTGTGGCGTTAACTTCAAACTCAGCGAACAACGAAAAGCTGCACGCGGAACGGTCCGCCGTGTAGAAAAAGACATCCCTATATGTTTGCTGCTCCGAGAAGAATCTTGCATGGGCGTACTTAGCGCACCCTTTATTGTCCTTAGAGGATAGCAAATCCACATGTATCTGCACATTTTTATTCTCCGAGGGACTTCCCTTAACCTCTACGTGTACCTTTTTCACCTTCCCTGGGTAATAAAATGTTTGGTTCCCCAAATTGATAACTTCAAATTTGTGCTTACCAGAAGTGACGTAAAAGCTACCACTAAAGAGGTTCTTCTTAATCCAGCTGTACTTTTGAGGACTCCTCGAATTTAACAATCTTGGGTTCAGAACAAACGAAGCTATAGACTCTGCGAAATCTTCTCCTGGTGTTTTATCATGCGCATAAGCAGAAACGAATCCGGTTTCGTTCCTAGTGGCCCACTTACTAGGGGAGAGGGGCTCCTCGTACCACTCGCCTTCGGTTACCCATTCTTTCCTCAAGTCAACTGACACAGTGTTGATGTAGATAAAGTGCCCTATTTCGTGGAGCACCAAGTGAGAAATGTCTTTATAATTTATAAAAGCCGATTCCATAAATTCGATGAATGAATTTCTAGATGCACCTGCAGGAAAGGCAACTGCTGGGGCTGTTGGGTAGACTGGATGCTTCAATCCATTTTTTCTTCTCGCCAAATATTTCAATCCATTAACCTTTTGGAATCCTTTTGGATATTCATCCCATGACGTAGCCAATTCGACCATCTCTTCCACGTTCTGACTCCATGGTTGGTAATCATTCTTTGAATAACCTGTGACTTCTTCCACTTCGGTTGGGTCTCTCTCAGGGTTTAGCAGACGAACGCCATGCTTGTCCTCAAAGTAATTAACGAACAGACTATAATCATCTGCAAGGATGGATCGGATTAGCACCTTTTCCAACCTCCTCGAATAGTAGTTCCCATTGCTGCCTGATGTCTTCACTTGCTTCTTAGAATATTCAAAAGCGCTGCTAGATACACGTACCGTCTTGGAGTAGGTCTTATCATCCTCGTCATACATCTCCACGTCCATGTCAAATGCTCCTAAATCCTCATGCACCAGAATCCATCGTTGGTGCTTCCTCTGGCGAGCTCTCTCCTCCTTATCGTAGGTCACTAACTGCACACATTCGGGAAAACCAGACAAGACGTTTAGCAGCCTGTCTGAATACTCAGAACCCCAATACCCTATCAACTCGATTCCGTAAAATGTCTTCAAGGAAGCTGCAGCTGCTGATGAGTCTAGCTTCAAATCGTTTGACATATCATGTCCATGTGTCCATCCAGCTTCATCGTTATGAACCACGTTTATGTGTTCTAACGAAATGGGAGCGTTTGATTGAAGTTCCCACTCGAATATAAATAAGTTCGAGACATTCGGATAAGGAGTTACTTCAACGGTGTCACTATAATCTGAGTTCACAAACTTGCATTTGGAACAAGGTACATTCAGTTTAATAGCACTAGGTGTTAAGTAGGTAGTTCCAAAGGTACGTAAGTAGTATCTTCCTCCATGAACAATAAATTTGAATTGAGGATTCTCAGACGTAAGAACTATCACTTCCAAAGAGTCGAAGTTATTTGAGTACTGAGCTCCTAGTGCTATCGATACTGGGTTCCCACCTTCTATCCCTTTGACAGACCCCGAAATTACATACGTGACGTTCTTATTACTTGGGGGGGAGTGTACCCTCTCTCTATCATGCATTAAATTTGTTAACGTAGCTGCTGTCTGCATAAAAATGGCTCTCCCAATGGGACTATCATCGTCTGCAATTAAATGTTGTTCTTTGCTGTGGGTTAGATGACTTCCTCTGTGCTTGAGGCCGGCGCTTCTCCCAGCCGCTGCGTCTTCCGAGAATCTCAAATGCTTGACGTTGTTATCTCCACCAAAATTCCTTATGTTGTACGTCCTGGTGACGCTTAGAATGGCAACCCACAGGGCGAACAACGCGAACTGGTTGAATTCCCTCATGATGGCAGCTCCACGGGGTTGCGCAGCGGGGAAGAAGCGAAGGAGACCAAATAAAGGAGAACTACTGAGGCACACTTCTTTGCTCCTCCTTTGGCTTATACAAAGATGATTGTCTTTCAAAAAAAAAATTAACAAGCGGTGGAAATTTTCCACATGAAAAAGGGAGTAGGCGCAAGAAAAGGAATAGTTACACGCATGGGGACATAAGCGGTGCGACCGACACACACAACGGAACAAAAGTTACGTACTAGTAAAATAACGTCACATGAGGGGAAGGGTTGCTCTTGTGTGTTATAGGAGGGGTTCTACATAGAAAAAAGGGGAAGACAGAGCGGTACAAGCGCGAAAGCGTCGAAAGCGGCTGGATGCAATATACGGTATGGAGGACGGCACATTTACGTTTAAGTAGGCGTATACGTGATGAAGGAGTAAAAAATACCATAAAATGGAGGAAAAAATTAATAATCGAAATTTTTCGATATGCAAAACGGGGAGTAACAAAACGGAAACCTGCGTTTGTTTGGCTTTAAGGTAGTTTTATACTAGCTTTTAACTTGGTTGCTGGCTTGTTGTTTGGTTTTTGCTTAATTAGTTTTTTAAAACTATATTTATTTTTTTTTTGTTTTAAAATTATGTTGAAATTATTTTAAACTATTTTTTAATTATTTTTTTAATTATTTTTTACTAACTCGTTTAGAGGTTTGTTTGTCTGTTTACCTTTTTAAATTAGGCACAGTTGCAGGAAAAAAAAGAAAATATATACATATGAACACATATATATGTAGACACACGTTCCATAAACAGGATTTCACAAAGGATTAAAAAGGATGGTGAGTTGCGGAGGTACAGGAAAAGCTGCTCCTTACTCGAGCTCTCATGCATGTTTAATTAAACTCAGCATGATCCTGAGCGGTTTGGTGAGGTGTGAAGCGACGATGTAAGATACGCTTGTTTTCGCGTTACATTACTTCCTCCATTTTGAGTTGTCTCAACAGAGTTGTGATGAGTATAAGAACGCATGCTACGTCTTGACGAATACAGAATATGGTTGCAACTGGCGTGGCAATTACTTGTTTCCATATGCAAATACGAATGGTGTTAATGGGGAACAACTAAAATAAATGGCGTCATATTTGGAAAAAAATATATATATTTAACATTTTAAAGTGTTTATCACGAAATAGCTAGTTTTTTTTTTTTTTTTTTCTGCATGAATCTACAAGGTGATGAAGAGTTACATTTTTACATGCACAAATAAAAAAAATGGCTAGCTGCTCTTCCCACAACAACAAAAAAAAAAAAAAATTAGCTACCTGTTGCTCTTTCATACCCCAAAGCATGTGCATGCAGAACTACAAAAGGGATTCACTTTTTAATTACATTATAATAGAACGGGGGAACATTAAGCACATTTTGTTATAGCAATTGTTCTGTCTGTCTTATGGAATACTTCCTGTGAAAATTTTAAGTCTGTGTGTTGCCCATTTTTTTTTTTTTTGTTATGCGTGCATGCATTATTTTTCTTTTGTGGGTACTGGAAAAATGGAGAATGTGAAAATTACACCAGAATTTTTTAGTGGTCCATTTTGGCAAGGAGCCCACTTGGAAAAAGTTCACCTGTGCAAGGGAAAAAAACTTCGTAGCAAAATAGAAGCCTAGCGTATAGGATACATTTTTAACAAAAAATGCTGAACCATTTTGACAGCCAACAACTGAACATGGCTGTTAAACACTCTTCAGTTGAATTCTCTTTTTGTGAAAATTTTTGTGCGTGCTTTTTTTTTTTTTTATCAAGTGTGCATTTACAGAAAAGAAGGATTAATTAAAAAGTATTTTTTAAAAAGAAGGGAGAGTTCAATTTGCTGCGCAGTCGCCAGTTCTCCTCTCCTCTCTTTGAAGAGCGCGTTGACGCCACACTTCCAGGCGTGTTTTTATGTGAAAAAATATAAGGGAAGAGAACCCATCTCATCTGATACACTCCTGGCAAGGGACAGACGCCTTAAACAGCGAGCACGCGTTCACGCACGAGTATATATATGTGTTATGTACATGTATGTGTCTACTCTTTGGCCGTGTTCTTTGTCCAATTTGGTCCTACATTAGGACGACACACGGGTGCTACCCCTCCTTTAAGCACCAAAAATGTAGCACACTATGCACAGTAAGCAGTTCGTATGGTTACGTATAGCCCCATATTGGAAGAAAAACTTATGTATCATTGCATTAACTTCACTCTGGCTAATGCATTTAAAAAATTTTCATTCGAATTAGTCGAGGTGATAAAAAAGGGAAAACCCAAAGGAATGTTTTTTTTTGTTGTACAAGTCCATGCTGTTTACATTGAAGGTGTAAATGTAGTGTGTCACTCCAAACTGCGATGTGCCCCTGTTTGAACTAGTTAAAGATATGCATGTGCTTCATTCAGGAAGGAAAAGAAAAACCAATGTGGGAACAACACTTAGTGTTAGCGTTAAGACTGACGTGAGCACGAAATGGGAAGCCACTCTTGGGCGAAAGGTTTCCCATTTTGACAACGCACATGGAGCAAGGATAAAAATGAAGCAGTAGACAGTAGATACTTTTTTACAGTATCATAAATGAAAAAAACTCCCCCCAAAAAAATTGGAAACATAACAGAATCGTGGGGAGAACAAACAAAAAGTGCTTCTATTCGCCGCATGACACACCTGTTAAGTGACAAATGGCCACTTTTCTTCCTTTTTGCTTTCTGTGTCTCTTCCACAACATATGACTCATTTTTGTCAAACGAATTATCTGAACAAATGGGGAAAATATGCAGTATGTCTAATGAGCCGAGTATGTGGTCACTACACATTATTTCTGTTCTTTTTATTTTAATTTTTTTTTTTTTTTCACAATTTTGAAGTACAAGAAAAAAAAAAAAAAAAAGCGCGTAAATAAATGCTCATCTTGCCATATAGACAAGTGGCAATTTGTAACTTGGGAGAAAATCCTTCCAAAGATCCACATGAGCAAGTGAAGATGTGCACGATACGAGCAGTCGCTTCAGTGTGTATGCACGCGTGTGATTGTTTACATTTTTATAGCTTCGTTATGTGTGCTTCATCAGGAGGGGGGAGGGCCAAAAGAAAAAAAAAGGATGTGACATTTTCCCTGCTGCCCATCGCCCTGCCTGCTTATATTTCGAATCCCACATGGTGTGTACGCAAGGATGTATATTTACATGTTTTCCTTTTGCACATTTGTGTAGTCACACATTTCTTCTTGCTCGTTACGCATTTTGCGAACGCTTTCGTGGGAGAAAGTTTAGGAATAAAAGAACATACACATTTTTTTTTTTTTTTTTATATCAGAAGTTTTGCAGTAATTGATTCAAGGGGGGTGGAAGTTCGAAACGTGCGCACTGTTTTGCTACATTTTTAAATCTCCAAAAGTATTTTTTTTTTTTTTTTTTTTTTTTTTTTCACAATTTTTAAGTAAAAAAAAAAAAAAAAAGATGCATTATGTTCACATATTTAACGTTGCTGCGATATCGAACATTTTCGTTTGCTTGTGTTCTCCAAAGGAGAGTTGAAATAAACGCGAGGTGGAAGTGATCGAAACTGGCCGAGGCGTCGGCGAGGCACGACGCATCGTCAAATATGGGGCACCCAAGCGAAGAGCAGCCCAACGTTGAACATTTTGCAAAAAAAAAGGAAAACGTGTTAAGTGATTCTCCATGCGAATACAACGCACGAGTGAAGCGCACGGTGTTGTGTAACCCCTGCCTCAGCAGCAACCCGGTGTAGCGCAAAGGAGAAAAAAAAAAATCAAAGCGGTCCACCCACATTCTTCAACAAGTTTCACCATCAATTTTTACCATCATTTTTCACCGTCAATTTACATCATCAATTTTCACCTACGATTTGTCCCCTCCTCGACAAAATGGGAATTAAAGGCTTGACGAAGTTCATCGCGGACGCAGCGCCGAACGCAATTAAGGAGATAAAAATTGAGAACCTGATGGGGAGAGTGGTGGCCATCGATGCGTCCATGTCTTTGTACCAATTTATAATAGCCATAAGGGACTCTGAGCAGTATGGAAATTTGACGAACGAGTCTGGGGAAACGACTTCACACATATCGGGGCTCATGTCGAGAAGCATAAAGCTCATGGAAAACGGCCTGAAGCCGATCTACGTGTTTGACGGAGCTCCCCCTGAGCTGAAAGGATCCGAGTTAGAAAAAAGAGGAGAGAAAAGACAAAAGGCAGAAGAATTATTAAAGAAAGCTAAAGAGGAAGGAAATTTAGAAGAAATCAAAAAACAAAGTGGAAGGACAGTAAGGGTTACGAAAAAGCAAAATGAAGAAGCAAAAAAATTATTAACACTAATGGGAATCCCAGTTGTGGAAGCCCCATGCGAAGCAGAATCACAGTGTGCCTTTTTAACCAAGTACAATTTAGCGCACGCAACAGCCACGGAAGACGCAGACGCATTAGTGTTTGGAACCAAAATCCTAATTCGAAATTTAAATGCCAATGCATCATCATCCAATCAAAACAAAAATAAAAACTCGAGTAAAAGAGGATACATACTAACCGAAATTAACCTCGAGCAAGTATTAAAAGGATTAAATTTAAGCATGAACGAGTTTATCGATTTCTGCATCCTGTGTGGCTGCGATTATTGTGACACCATCAAAGGAATCGGGTCCAAGACGGCTTACAATTTAATAAAGGAATATAATAGCATTGAGAAAATTATAGAAAATATTGACAAGGACAAGTACCAAATTCCTTCCAACTTCCGCTTTGTAGAAGCTAGGGATTCTTTTATTAACCCTAAAGTTTTGTCTAAAGAGGAAATTAAAATTGATTGGTGTGAACCTAAAATTGAAGAATTAAAAGAGTTCCTAATCAAGGACTACAATTTTAACGAAGTTAGAGTTACCAATTATATTAACAGATTGTTGAAAGCGAGGAAAGTAACCACTCAGAGACGCCTAGACAACTTTTTTACCGCCTGCACGAAGAAGAGCACCAAACTCATCATTGAGGAAAGTCAAAGTCAGAAGGAGGTGAAGACAAAGAGGAAGGGAAAGAAAAGGGACGCACCGAACGACAGCACTACGAAACTCAACTCCAAGCAGAATAAGAAGCCCAAGGCGGAAAAGGAAACCAAAACGGAGCAGAACGACGAAGACGCCCATAATGGGGACGATAACGAGGAGGAAGGGGGAGGAGAAGGAACTGCCGACATGGCCGCGAAAGACCCCTTTGACACCGAGGAAGAGGAGGACAACCCTAGCCCTAACTTCTTCCACCACAAATCCGACTCCGAATCAGGTAATATAAAAAAAGAAAATACGGAGCAGGATGGAAGCGCCGCCACAATGGGTGATGCGTATAACTGCTCCAATGGAAAGGACATATTAGAAAGTAACGTACACCTAAGTAGCAATATCACCCTACACAGTTTTAACAATGTGAACAGTGACCAGGCAGTCAACGAGAGCATGCACGTCGTAGGTAGTAGTGCCCCCGAGGCAGGCACCAACCATGTAGGCAGCGGTGATCAGTTCACTCCGAACGTCGCCAATTGTGTGAATACCGACGCTGATAAAACTCAGCCCGAAATGAAAAAAAAAAACATTTTATTTTTGCTGCCCTATTGCCCCAAGAATGTTACTAATGTGAAGAAGAGGAAATCCGTTCAGCGTTGTTAAGGGAGTTCAGGAGCGCTTATGCAGACAAGCACGCACATGCTCATTTGCACATGAGTTCGTGCACGTACCCGTTTCGTGGCCCTGTTTTTTTTTTTTTTTTTCTTTTTTTTACGTACTTTTGAGGCTCCCCAGGGTTTTTCCACCTCCATGGGGCGCACGTATGCAGAAGCGCCGAGTCTGTCCGGCAGCCCATTCGGGCGGGCCACCCATTTGGCTCACTTTTTTAGCGTACACATTTGGCTTTCCTTTACCTACCCAGTTGTCCCCCCTTTGGGATCCCTTTTTGGCTGCCCCATATGATTCCCCCCTTTTTAATTCCACGCTGTGTGCATTTGCAACGGCGAAGCTAATACAAATGCATTTTCATTTTCGAAAAAAAAAAAAAAAACAAGACTTCCGTTTGGTGTTTTGTTTTAAATATTCCCCCATTTAAGAACATTTCTCTGCCCCTCCCCGTTGCTGTTGTTTTTTTCCCCGAATTTGGCAGCAAGCGAGGGCACAAAAAAAACAAGTGACCGTTTCGCCTAAGCAGTTTCACAAAAATGGCGCTGTAGAAGACTTGCCCCGTTTTGCAACCCTTCATGAATGTGTGCTTATAGTCGTTGTTTTGGGCCAGCGTAACGCGCTTTAAAAAAAGAAAAAAAAATTTGCAAATGTAGGGCAGTGCCTCCTTGGCTTCTCTTTCGTAGCAATAACTGTGTACGCTTCGACATGTGCGTTGGTGTTTCTCTCACTTTGGATCCCCTGTTTCATATGGCCCCATTTGCCGTTGACGCTGAATGTGCATCCCCCAAGGAAGATTAAATTTTCTGACAGTGGAAAAGGCTCCCATCTCCCCACCTCAGCCAAACTAACTCGTCCCACACTTTGATGTGCTGCCACGCGTGGGCACGTAAAAAAAAAAAAAAAAAAGGGGAACTAATCCACGTAAGCATGTGATGGTAGATAATGATGTGCACCTAAATCAGCTTGTTATCGTTTTATTTTTATCAACCGTTACACTTGTGTAGCGTTCCCCACATACCACGTCTCCGTTATAGCTGGTTCCATGTTCTGCGAAGAGGACTGAGGAGGGTAGTTACATTTAGGTGTTCATTTTTGCAAAGTCCACTCTGCCATTCTTCCTTCTGATGACACGTAAAATTGTTCTAAATGAATAATTTAAGGAAAGGGATTTTTTTCTGTTTTTTTAAAAGTGAAAAATGTTTTTCCTTTTGTGCAAAAAGGAGTAGAGAGCATGTACAGCTTGTGGGGAGGAAAGCGGGGGGTGACTTCCGCGGGGCGCGCGTTCGAGAATTTGCGACAGGTAGGGAGGAAGAGGTAGTGACGAAGTTAAGCAGGTCAAGAAGGATAGGCAGGGCAATCGAGCCACGGTCATCGACCCGCTTTACAGCGCCTGGTGAAGTGTCATTCAGGGGGGTAGCACACTACTCCAGTGTTGGTGAAACGGAAGCCAGCACACTCGGTGTAGAGGCTCAGCAGCAGAGGGAAGGTGTAGATCGCGGGGCGATATCGGATGTGGACGTGAGGTGCGGCCTGAGCGTGCGTAGCAACGGTGCTAGAAATGATGAGGAGACGGGCCAACGTGACAGTCAAGACGACCCCCAAAAGGGAAAGGACGACGAGCAGGACAACGTTGACGAGAACGACGTGGACCAGGACGATGTTGACCGGGACGACGTTGACCAGTACGCTAAGTCTTTCTACGAAATCTACGACGACAACGGGGACACGCAGGACTGCCCGCACCAGTTACGTAGGTTCATCAGAAAGGAACACATGGAAGTGAAAATAAAAATTAAATGCTCCAGCCCGAGGAACCTGAACAAACGAGACGTACAGAACGTCATCGGTGACATGTTCGACGGGGGTAACGAGGCGGGTAACGAGGCGGACTCTGGGGAGGAAGCGAACCAAGACAACGAAGACATTTACTACCTCAATTCGAATTTCAGAAAATTCAACTACCCAGACCGAAATGTTTTGTGGCCTAACCCGCTAGTATACAACCACCGCCTGCAGCCATTCCTACTGGAAAGGAAAAAGGACGAAGACAGCAAGACCTTTGAGATGAACAAAAAAAATATCGAAGTAAATAAAAGGAGGCTTCAGAATTTGTGGTGTTACAGCTCCAGTTATGGAGTAGACTGGAACACCCTGGATGCCCTTTTTTTAAATTTCAAACATAAGAAGGAGGAACATTTGAACAAGTGGGAAGAAAATAAAAACAGTATCATGATGTATGCATCACGAGTCGCCAAGAGGAAGTTAATAATGAGTAGAAAAAAGTTGCTAGACAGTCTGGGTATCGATTACTCCAGTAACATTTATGCTAATTACGAGGACACGGGGGAAGTGCAAGAAACGTATATGGAAGATGACCAGGAGGTCGAATATAATTTGTTGTTTCCCCGTTCTATCTTCCGCAAGTGGACCCGAACGTACTGTTGAGGCTTTGCGTGCGTGTCTGACCCTGTGCTGCGACACACGTGCCACCGTGGGGACGATAATTTTACGAGTGATACATCTCCGTCTTGATGCATATTACTTTTTTGTTCCCCCCCTTTTTACAGCCTGTATTTCTACTGGAAGGACCGATACATGCACTACTACGAAGACACCCTGTGCGATTACCTCAAGGGAGAAGTGGTGGACTTGCAACTGCTGCGCGAACAGAATGAGCGGAACCTACATTTGTCTGGGAGGAAAATGATGAGGGAACACTCATTCAGCTTAAGGCCAGTGAAGGGGTCCAATTTGTACGTTACGAGATATGTGCCCAAGGGGAAGCGACGGGTAAGGCTCACGGGGACCCATCTCCGCAATGCGTGCAGTGCGTAGTTATCCACACACATGCACACTGTTCCGCTGATCTGCAAATACGTTATCCTCATCACACTGCATCCACCCCCGTAATGCGTACGCTCCTCACCGCAGGCTAGAACCAATACCGATCAATTTGACTTAACAGGCGTCGGAGAAAATATATATAACACGGCCCAGAAGGAGAAATAGGTTGGGGGAAAAAAAAAAAAAAAAAAAAAAAGCGCGTTTTGTTCCTCTATCTGTGGCTTGGGTCATATATTGCGGGAAGATCTGTACACACATTATATCCCGTCCCATGCAAAGTGGGTTCCTCCAGCCACAGTGTTTACTTGCAAACAGTCTTGTCGACTTGAGGAGTTCCCCACCCTACTACAGGTTGACAACGCTCCCTTGTGCAGAAGTATGGTGGATGATTGTCATGATAATTTGTTTCTGCTTTATTACGCGTAATGTGTACTGGTGCTTATGCAGATGGATCATTTTGTGGTGTACCTATCTGCGCACGCAGGGGGAGGACTCTTGTTGACCCCACCAGATCTCCTACAGGATCCACCCGCATATGTTCACACCCCCTTCTCACACAAACGAGGTAGTTGCCACGTCTTTGCAAAGTTTATTTATTTTTTTTTTTCTCGAATTCCTAAACGGAAGGGCAATTATCAAATAGAGCAAAAACAAATGACACCAGAGGGGTAAGAATTGTAAAAAAAACGGGTAAAGTGCTGGCAAAAAAAAAATTAGTAACAGCACCCCGATGGAAAACCTACCATGGAATGACACATCTAATGTAGGAAATTTTTATTGAAGGGATCCCTTTACGATTTGCTAAAGGGAGGCATTTCTTTCTTTTTTTTTTTTTTTTTTTTTTCTTCGAACAAGAATTGTTTTGTACTAATTTTGCTGCACCAACGTTTGGGTGTGGGTGAACCTCATTATAGGAACATTTTTTTTTCTCCCTCACCCGAAATGATAGTGCGAATGTTCAAAGCCTTAAATATGGTGCTCGTTCTTGTGGCACTAATAGGAGAGTGAAAAAAAAAAAAAAAAAAAAGCGCGACGAAAGAACTGGAGATAAAGTCAGCAGTTACCAGTTAGAAGTTGCACGTCACAGGCAACACGATTGAGTCGCACAACGAGTACCAGAAAGTGGTATCCTACCCCTCATCAATTGTGGGCCTGATGTGAATGTACCCCGTAACATTGAATTTTTACTGGCGACTGTATCCCTCCGGGGAAGGGATCGCAACCGTTTTGGCATCACATGAGTGTATATGCTTCTGTTTATGTGTACCCGCCCCTGCCAACCGTGCTCCATAGTTTATCCCCCTTTTTAACGAACCATGAACAAATCGCATCTTCATTTTTTACCACTTCGATTGAAGCATTTGTGATTCACCCATGTTATATATATACCCTTATAAAGGCAAACAAGTCCCAAAGGAAAAAAAAAAAAAAAAAAAAAAAAAATTGTTACTCAGACGGAGAAGCACACTGGAGTAGTAGACCGAAGGGACATAGAACGTAAATGAAGCAAAGCATAGGATGGAAAATCGAAAGTACATTGGTTAGCCCCATTAAACAATTTTTATGTGCATGTGATGTTGTGCTTTCACAGATCTCGTCTCTCAGTGTGTACCCCGCGCGTGGCATTTTCCCTTTCTGAGCATTTTTTTTTTTTTTTTAACCACATGTGTAATGCTGTGCGCAACTTTTTTGCAAATGCAAATGTTGTCAGTCGTTGTTGCGCAATTGTTGGCTATTCCTATTTTGTGCCTTCCTCACTTCCTGCAGACAACGAACTGACGGGGGACTGGATATGCTCGGATGACAAGTAATGCCAAATTTTACCAACCCATTCTCTGCTTCGGAGCAGGTCTATGCGCCATGGAGAATGCATCGTTGCGTTTAACTACCTCCGACCATGGCTAACCACTCCCACTTGCCCCTTTCGTGTTGCACACCCAATTGGGCATAACACACCCCGGGGCATTCAAGGGCGCAGCTACATGTGTGGAGTTACGTGTCTACGTAGGTATTCTGCGTACAACACGGCGATACATAGCACACCTTTACTGTATACGAAAAAAAAAATGAAGAAACTCTTTTCATGCACATTATTTTTTTAAAGATGCGCGATTGTGAACTCGGCTCAAAGAACACACTGTCACCGATGCAACAGAGTCAGGCCAAAAAGCACAAGTAATGGTTTTAAAATGGCACTCCGGTGATGCGCCATGAGTAATATTTATATAGATGTCCCGCTTATTAACCCTCTCACTGTCCCCCGCCTACACTTCCTGTGCCAAGTGGTGAAGCGATCTTCGAAATGGGCATCACTTTGCACACCGCTACACTCATCATCGCACCCATTTTCTTCGCTTCGCAACCCGCGGCGCCCACCACCCCTTAGTGAAGAAAAATCCCAAGCAGGTCATTTTCAAAGGGAACGACTGGAAGTGTGATGACTGTGGCAACATCAATTGGGCCAAGAGAGAAAAGTGTAATATGTGTAATAAGGCAAAATTCCCCCAAAAGGGAAACGACTCCAAGTCGAATAAAGAAGTACGGACTGGCAAAGGTGGAGGTCACTACGATATTCAAGGAAGTAACGAAAAGAGAGTCCATGACTCAGACGACGAAGAGTATGATGAGTTTGGTCGGAAGAAGAAGAGGAAGATAGTAGGTTCGTACCCCGGTGGGAGAAGTGGCTAGGCGCTGTTGTTTGAATTCGCCACACGTGCAATCGCAGCCCTTAACATGCACCTACTACAAACACACACATTGTTCGCGCGCTATTGCACTTTTTGCCTTTTTTTTTTTTTTTTTGCAGATAAGGATGTCGACAAGGACAAGGATAGGGGCGATAATGACACAAACAGGGACGCAAGTGGATACAGCAAGAATAAAGAATCCTTTCACAAGAAGGACACCGATCGGAACAGACACTTTAATCGCTCCCGGTCGAGGAGTTCCACGCCAAATAATTACCAAAAAGGTCGAAGTGGTGGTGGAGGGGCCCATTACAAGAATTACGACCGGAGGAAGCAGGACGGGGATTACAGCGCCGGTCACTACGGTGCAAGTAGCAGGCACGATAGAGACAACAAGCATGATGATAGAAGTAGGTACGATGACCGAAGCAGGCACGATGACCGAAGCAGGCATGATGACCGAAGCAGACACGATGACCGAAGCAGGCATGATGACCGAAGCAGGCATGATGACCGAAGCAGGCATGATGA